TGGCCCCGAAGCCAGGCTTTAACAAAGAGAGGGGCATGGCTCAGTAGGCAAGGGCTCAAGGCAATGTTTTATTTCCATAATGAATTAATCTCCATGAAAGACATTTTTCACACTGGTAAATACGCTTTAAATGTCTCAAGAACTTTATGTCTCATCCCCAAACAAGACTGTCAGTTCCCGAAAGGCAGAGAACACTATCCTTATTTTACATTCCTTTTAGCATATACCTCCCAGAGGTAGCACACACCTCTGAGCATTTACTGAGAAGATTAAAAAATAGCTAGACACCTAAATTCCAGGCTAGATCCACAGCCTCAGGACCACTCAACAAGTATCATTATAGGTACAATCTAAAGTTCCAATAGGATTTGTGGAATACATCAGAGGACAGAACAGGATCTCCCAGGGACAAAGTAAACAGAAGCCCATGTTCATTTTTGTCCCATGTCAGAGTGAGCCTAAGAATCTGACCCAGCCTGGGGCCTACTGGTTTGAAACTGATGAGTTGAGACTCCAGAGGATAAGAATGTCTGGCAACCCTTCTGCAGTCCCCCACACTGCTAGTGACAAGGCCTCTGCATGAACTTCTATTTACAGCAGAGATATGGTCAGCACTCAGAGGGAGTAAAGCTGTGAATCTGAGTTCTGACTCTTCAGTTGACAAGGTTAAGTTTCACACAACTGGTTAATGCTTTCTTATCCAATCACTTGCAAATTAATAAGGAATGTAATATACCAACGTATTTTGTTGTACAAGATGACAATCCTTAATGCTTTCTTATCCAATCACTTGCAAATTAATAAGGAATGTAATATACCAACGTATTTTGCTGTACAAGATGACAATCCTAAGAAGAATTTGTACATGTATCATATGGAACATTTTTACTAACTTATACATTGGAAGATATTGGACAATATACAAAGAATACCAAGTTCTAGGTGGTGATTATTTTGGATTATGATTTATTTACAAAATTTCACCACATATAGGAACTACCTTTAAAAAAAACTTGGCATTGATCCTAGAAAGGCCATTAGGATAAATTCTTAAGCCTATAAAAGGCATCTTAGTACCACTGCTCCCAGGCTTATTATTGTGTTAACTAAAATCTGACTCCAAAGTCCACGTGTAGTTTCTAGTTCTAATTATACACAGTCATTTTGAAGCACAACAATCTAATTAGATTGACAGGGGATAGTGGAGGACCCAAGTCCTACAAACCTCTATAAGAGGTGTATGTGAGCCTACTAGTTAGTTATATCCTTCTAGCTATACCGGCCTTTACTTATAATGGGGCCACCAGGTAATCCCATTATGCTAAAACATGGTTCCTTGGGAAAAAATAAGGCTTTTTCTAGACCAGCTAGACTGGTCCTGAGGGTGGGTAAAAAATGGCTGTCGGTAGTGAAAAAGGGTTTCATTTCTTCAAACTTTTTCCTTTTCCTTTTCTGGACTCCGTATCTTTTACTGGTTTTGAAGGCTTTGAAGACTTTGTCTTTTTCTGTTGTAGGGGAAAAGATGCAGAAAAAAGTTAATAGCTGTGTTTATGAATAAATGAAATAAGTTCATCTCTACAATAAATCTAATCTTTACCTGCAACTTAATTAAAAAAGGAGAGAGGCTACGAACAACTTGACCTTGGACTACTTCTACACTGATGCACTTACTTTTAAGCAACGACTTGGCTGCTTATGTAGCCTTTAAAAGACAGCAGTAAAAACTGAAAAGCTATTTAGAATCTAGAACTAAGACATGTTCTTCATGTAAGGCAGTTTCTTAGATTTAGAAGATAGGTATAATTCTGCTTCTATGCTTGAAGGTAAAAGACAAATGTTTACATGAAAAATTTCCTCTTCTTTCAGTTTCAGATTAGAGATCTAAACACATTCATTTTGTGAAGGAGGAAGAGAAGAGAGAAGGAGACAACCTCTTATGTTTACATAAGACTAGAGAGAGCTACACAGGAGAAGGCCACAATTCCTTCTCCTGCTTAGACAAAACAGAAATGAAAGGCACGAAACATGCACACACAGCAAAGGATACAGACTAGATCCTTTTGCCTCAGGCAGTTGTAAACAGTTGGCTGATACCATAATTGACTTTAATCTTTCCTAGCAAAAGACTAGGATGTTTTGCTCTGAGAAACTTCTACGGGCAGTTCAATGGCTATAGCAAAACACAAATAACAGAAGAGGAAAATGGTCTTGTTTAAAATGTTTGTCTTGATTATGTTGTGAAAGTGTGTGTCTGTGGATAAGAAACCATACAACGATGGCCAAATTAATAAAATGGTACTTTTTCTAACAGAACACATGACACTTGACCATCAATATGATGGCCTATTTTCTTGCTGTTTGGCTCTTCCACTACCATAAGAAGCTGATTGTTTATAAAAATGAAATCTATACCTTCTCCACCCTCAATTTACACTGCTACTTGCTAAATAGGCCCTATTATTCACAAGGCAAGTTATACACAAGAAAAGATAATCTATTTTAAGGTTCTCCCACCTATAGCTTAAAATATTACCTTGATCATAGCATCAGTTTCTATACCATCTTGGTCTTTCTCATCAGATTGAGAGTCATCTTCGTTTAACTCTTCATTGTATTCAAAATCCATTGCTGGGCCTGTGCTGTGTCTAGATGTCTTTATTGCCTGAAGTGAATACGGGGTAAGGTGGGCTTCCTTATTGTAAGCTCTGGTGAAGGCTGCTTTTACCTATATGAAAGGAATAGAAGGAGTTTTTGAAAAATCTAAGTGCCAAACAATTCTTTTAAACTCTATAAGCCTAAAAGGCTTTGAGAGACCCTGGGTGCCCCGTGAAACTATTTGCAAAATATTTATGTGTATACATGTAAATGTAAGTATATACATTTTTCTGTGAAGTTCCATATTTTTCATGATATTCTTAATAGAGCCCATGACTCAAAAAAGATCCATTTAGAAACTTTAAGCAAACAAAAAAGAAAAAAGTCACTTTATGTCATCATTTTTTACCTACTCAGAGCTCGCCACATTTTTACAAAGTAATAAGCAAAGTTAGTCAGTGCATCAGTAAATCAAAAAGGCTCATAATAAGGTACAAGTTGGCTTTTAATTACCACAAAACTCATGTTACCTTTATCATAATAACAGTAGCTACTTCAAAATACTAAGTAACTTGAAAAGCCTTAACTTCAAACTTCTAAACATAATTCCAGAAGTAGTCCATGAATTATTATAATGAATGTCTGCCATGTAAATTTACTAGTAACCATTAAATCAGGTCAAAATTCTAGATAGGGCAAACCACAGAGAATATGTCTTTTAAAATAGCATCAAATAAATAGGCACAAGAGTGCAGTATTAGATATTACATATTCATGTTTTATCACTTTAGTTTTTTCTTGCTCATTATAAAAAGAAAAGAGGGCATACATTATTACATGATAAATTATGCAAGGAGAATAAATACTGAATCCACAGATTAGGTAGACTAAGAAAAAGAAAAATTATAAAAATTCCCAGCCAGTAGGCACATCTTTATTTGTACAATCCATTACCAACACCTCATTTTTACTTCCTCAGGTTCATCCCTACCTTTAAGGAATACGTTTATATTTGCTCCTTAGATTTCACTTCTTGCTTTTCTACTCAGCATAAAGCCAAGATAAAAATACAAATTATAAAGTCAAATCCAGAAGTCTGCTCTTACTACTGTACTCAAACCATATCTTTGGAAAGCAGAGGCCATAAGAAGAAACAATCATTTAAGGGGGAAAAAAAGTAAGCCTTTTTTTAAAAGAATCTAAAACATCTCTGAAGTACTCCTAGTACCATCCTGGTAATTACAAAGTGGCAGAAAACCAGTGGGTTACACAACTTACCTTGGGATCCAGCTTGGAAAAGGGACTAGGTTTGCCACCCCAGCTGCTAATTTCCATGATATTGTCAAAATCTTCTTTCATCAAATAATATATGTCCATAAGTGCAACCACATCCTGTATTCCCTCTACCCCTTGTGAGGTCAAGGGTTGTACAAGTGCATCCCTTATGTGTGACAGATAATCCATGTTTACTGTCCTTTTGCTGGAATATGTTCTGAAGTCAAAACAAGAGACACACCTACAGTCAACTGCAGACTATTGCCAACTCAAGTCATATTATGCCTATCAACACCGAGTTCATCAGGCAGAGTTCAATCCAATTTTAATAATGTTCAGTGGAATGCCTCCCATTTAACAGCTGGTGCAAGGAAGGCCTAGCGCTACACTGTCAGGTTAATGGATACCCATTGATGTGCTCAAAGGAAGTTTTCTCCTTAGCTGGATCAGAAGACTGAAAAACAAACATGGGTTCTACTTTTGTCCTCCTCTTAAGGCCCAGGCAACAACAGTGTTTCCCTGTGCTCGTACTTATTACAGCCATAAAGATTACTCATTCCAAATTCCAAAATATTAAAAGCATCAGTAAAAGAGAGTGAGATTTCCTACCTCAAGTGCCACGGCCATTCCTACATGAGTGTGTGTAACACCTTTTGGTCTCTGATTATAACACACAAAATTATATATGAATGCCTCCCTCACATTTCCTAATACTATCACTCTAAAATCTTCCATTCTAGACCAGGGTTTCCCCCATACCTAAGAAAATGGCAGCGTATGCTCCTGCAGAATCAAAATATGATCCACACTGGCCAGGAAAAGACTTAGGGAAAGAGTCTCTGATCTGTTGAGAACTAGAATACGATGATCACTCTAAAATCTTCCATTCTAGACCAGGGTTTCCCCCATACCTAAGAAAATGGCAGCGTGTGCTCCTGCAGAATCAAAATATGATCCACACTGGCCAGGAAAAGACTTAGGGAAAGAGTCTCTGATCTGTTGAGAACTAGAATATGTTCATGAAATGACTCTTTTTCTGTTTAATGCTGTCACATCTTAAAGACAAAAAAATAACTGAATAAACAATATTTCAAATGCCACCACCCTAAATCTTTCACCCCAACTGCCTCTGTCTTCAAACTAGGCAATTATATGTATGCGTACTTTGAACAAGAGACCTCAAAAGCTGTTGGTATCAGAACCCATGCTGGAATGAGAAAAGAAATGATTCTTTAAAAATTGCCTATGGGGGGCTAGCCATTTAGCTCAGTTGGTTAGAGCACGGTGTTCCAACACCAAGATCAGAGGTTCAAATCCTTGTACCAGCCAGCCGCCAAAAACAAACAAAATTACCTATGGGTCCTGCTCCTGCCTTCAGGTAACTAAATGTCTGAACCACAAAAAGCCACATCGTTCTTCTCCCAATAAGAAATCTAGAACCTTGCCCCTGCAATTGTTTTATTACCTAGGCAAAGAGTTCAAAAAGCTCTATTTTAATTTTACCCATTTCCTCTAGATTTACTCTTCCATACTCAAGCACACTAGTACTTGAAGAAAAATAGTGTGAATCCCTGAGCCACAGTACCCAAGAAACTCATGAAACCATTTCCAAAATTATTCTCTTGTGTTATGTAATTGTCATCTCCTAATAGAATCACAGAACATTAAATTTGGGAAAGTCTAAAGTTGTCCTCTTATGTACCTAAATCAAGCTTGGGAATCTGTATTTCCCCTAAAATTGTATTATTTGTGCATCTGTGCATTTGGGGGGAATAAAGATCAGAACTTTGAGATTCTCAAAGGCATTTGTGGTCCCCAAAAAAGGTAAAGAACGAATAATGAAATCACACTTCCATTTTTTAAAGAAGAAGAGAAACTGAGGCATATAAAATTTAAGTGACTTGATGAGGGTTAAAGTTAAGTGGGAAGGTCTTAACTTAAAAAATCATGACATTCGCTACAAATGTCCTTGCTGACGATAATGTCCTGTATATATGATTCATTAAGAAACATTTACTGAGCAGTTTATGTGTTAGACGAGTAAGCCTCAGTTCCCACCCCCAGAAATGTTCAGTCTAAAGGGGAAAGAGGACGGACATTCAGACCAGCCATAAAATAACATGGAAGTCCAGGACTCAAAACCTACATGGAGTAGAGTGGGAGCACTAAAGAGGGACGTCCTAGGGTACAGTGATGCATGACCTTTATAAAGCAGTGGGCAGGGCGCAGAAAAAGGGCTGACAGCAGTCTCTTGGCCTGACCAAGGAGAAGAGCAATAGGAAAAAGCAGCCTTTTCCAGCTTCTCCAGGACACCCGCATTCCTTGGCTTATGGAGTATTTTTGAACTTCCTTAAACTTTTCCAAGCTCATTAGTTTATCTGAGTGGCCTCCTCCTGTTACATGCTCAACTGTATTCCCTATCCCAAATGGCTAGGACCTATTAGAATAGGTTAAAAACTAGTCTATGTCTTTAAATAGTTCAATTTTTTCCTATTAATTATTCTGAAACTGAGAAGTTATTCCCACTAATAATAGGCATAGTCACAATAACAATAAATAGCACTATCTCAGATTCATAGTTTTTAAAATTATGACACCTCTACCATCTGGCTTTATTCTTCAAAGTATCTTTTTTGGGGTTTGGATTTTTTTGTTTTGTTTTGTTTTGTTTTTGGCAGCCAGCCATACAGGAATGAAACCCTGGACCTTGGTGTTATCAGCACCAGGCTCTAACTTACTGAGCAACCAGCCAGCTAAAGTATCTTTTTAAGTGGTAAAGCAAGTGTTACATTGATTACAGATGATAAAACCCAGGACCACAAAATATAAGGAACTTATCTAGGATCATTAATCCAGTTTGCAATAAAATCAAAACTAAAACAGAAATCTTTTGACTCATGCTATAATTATTGGATAAAGGCTAAATACACAACACCAATAAAATACCAGAAATGGAGTAAGACTTCTTACCTGAGGCTCATATGCAATGCTAGGTCCTGAACAATACGATCGTGTTTGCCCATAGACGAGTGCTTCCCCAGCCAGCTTGGGAAGGTGGGAAACTGGGTCATGTACCCTCTCATCAACTCTCCAGGAAGGACACTGGCATAAATGGCCTGAAAAAAATCAATTACAGTCCATAATTTAAACTTGGTACAAAGTTACTTCCTTCGCAGAGTTGGCTTCCAAGTAGTCCGTGGAAAATGAAGAAACGTTGTCCCCAGTACCTAATTCCAGGGCAGTTGGGTCCTTCCCTATCTATGATCTGTTGATATGGGAAACTTCCCCCAGAGAAAACAACGGATTCCAGTAAACACCTTGATACAAAACATGTCATGGCCTTTGGAGAGATCATCTTGCCAACACAGCTTCCTCAACCAACTGAGCTCACCATACCAGTTACCTCACAGATGGATGCCAATGTCACAGCAAATTAGCTTAAAAGGAATATGATTGTCTTTAACGTAAGCAACTGGTAGCACAGGCAGATTAAAGCATGGAAAGTCTAATAATTAGAGAATCAATTAAACCGATACTTGAGAAAAGTAAAAAAAATGTCTTTAGATGTTTTCTATGTCCATTGTTTTCAATTTTTAAAGGCTAGAATTATACTCTACATAAATTTTGTATCCTGCTTTATTCTAGTAATATTCTCTCATAAGTATTTTTTTTGTATTAGACAATCTTTAAAAATAATTTTAAAGGCTGCATAATATTTCTTCAAGATGATTTACTATGATTAATCATTCTCCTATTGCTGGACATGGAGATTTTCTCCAATTTTTTTGCTATTACAACTAATGTTTTAGGGAATATTTTTGTACATTAAGCTTTCTTTGTGTTTAAAATTATTTCTTTAAGATAAATTCTCGAAGGCACAATTATTAAGTAAAGAAAAATAAACAAGGCCAGCCCGTGGGTCACTTGAGAGAGTGTGGTGCCGATAACACCAAGGCCAAGGGTTCGGATCCCTACATAGGGATGGCTGGTTAGCTCATTTGGGAGAGCGTGGTGCTGACAACACCAAGTCAAGGGTTAAGATACCCTTACCAGTCATCTCTTTAAAAAATAAATAAATAAAATAAACACTTTTAAAACATAAGAGAAAGGATTCTGTATCTCTAGAAAGAGTCCTAGTTTTTTGTTTTCAAGAATGTATGGGTAGAATTAAGAGAAGGGTAGGCCTTCTGGAAGTCCCTTACTTACTATTCAGGCCAATAACCCTGTATAAAGACACAAAACTCAAATAAGAAAAAATAAATCTTAATTATGAATGTTTGCTGAACTCTGTTTTGAGTTAAAGATATCAACCTAAATATAGTACCCAATATAAAGCTGCCTCTTTAGCAAAGAAGAAGAAAATCGGAATTCACATATCAGAGAGATGGCTGCTGACCTGCCCTGGCTCCATTTCTTCAAGGAGGAACTACTTAGCAACCATCTGGGAGAGCCAAGAATGACAAAAAAGAAATCGATTCTTATGGTAAAATAGAGCAAATGAAACTTTTGATTCATATCTCAGTTACAACCAAAATCTAACTTTCCTATTTCTATGTGTCCATTCACATAAAAACATTTTTGAAGCACTGAAAAATAAGGCCAGATTAAAAAACAGACCACAATGAACACAGAGTATTTTAATCTGTAACTGATTGCATTTTTGCTCCAAGAGCCAGAACGTTTATCTGGCATTTCAAATGATGACAGGAGCTAAAATATATTTTGTTTTTTTTAACTAAAGCAGACTCTGCACTTTCAAGAGAGCCCTCCACTTACCTGTGTGGGCAGAAGACTCCAGTTTTGCTTACTCCGGATCTGACTGTCCACTAAATCACCATCACATATGCTATCTGCTGCTCTGCTTAAAAGCATCAAGTGCTTTTTCATGTCACCCCTGCAGGAAGAACCAGTCTAGATTACACCACTATCCACACCCCAGATTCCCCTCCCCCCTCCCAGGTTTGGCCTTCATAGTGCCAGGAGGGTACTAATCCTAACCCCTCTCTAGCTATGAATACTCACCCTGCAGCTACAGGCTTCACATGTACGTAGTTCTCCTGGACAAAGAGAGGTGCTATTGAATAATCATGAAAAAAAAGATCTGATTTGTCCACAAGTGACATATGAGCAGTCTCCTCTCCAGCTGCAAACACTTTCCGGGCAACATCAAATGGGCCCTAAAAGAGGGAGGGACACACCTATTAGAATGGCCAAAATCCAAAACACTGACAATACCAAATGCTGGTGAAGATGTAGAGCAACAGGAACTCTCATTCCCTGCTGGTAGGAACACAAAATGGTACAGTCACTTTGGAAGATAGTTGGTAGTTTCTTACAAAACTAAAAGTACTCTTACCAAATCATCACACTCCTTGATGTTTGCCCAAATGAAGTGAAAACTATGTGCACACAAAAACCTGCACACAGATGTTTATAGCAGGTTTATTCATAATTGACAAAAGCTGGAAGCAACCAAGATGTCCCTTGGTAGCTGAACGGATAAATAAATTGTGGTACATCCAGACAAAGGAATATTATTCCACAATAAAGAAATGAGTTAAAGCCATGAAAACACATGGAGGAAACTGAAATGCATATTACAAAGTGAAAAGCCAATCTGAAAAGGCTACATATTGTATAATTCCAACTACAATACATGACATTCTGGAAAAGGCAAAACTATAGAGATAGGAAAAAGATTAGTGGTTGCCAGGGATTAAGGGGGAGGGATGGATGAATAACAAGAGCACACAGGATTTCTTTTTTTTTTTTTT